TAATCAAACTGTTTAGGAATGAAGACATCGGCATCAGATCCCGAAACGTTCGGCTGTTACAAGCCGACAGAAAAACCCCAGAAAAAAACTACAAACCGATGCAACGAAAATAATTTTCCGAGTAATGCAGTTGCTGCACATGTGCATCGCGATGGCACACGGTAACAGATTGAAAATAGAACATGGAGCAAAAGAATAACGAACAGTGAACCTGTCACATGTTCGGCGTCTGCTAGCGGCTTCCTATAGACGCAGTTCCGCAATCTTTCTTCACTTCAGATTGCTTCAACGGCCCTGTTTGTCTGCACCGTCAGATCTGTTCTGGATTCGGCTGGATGGGATATGTCATGGCCGCTTACTGCATTAACGACAGATTTTTCGAAGAAGAACAGATGCAGCAGCAGATCGCTAGGAAATCACTCTGTTTTCTTCCATTATTAGATGGCTGATCTTCACATTGGTTCCATCAGTTCTGGGCGAGTTGTAGAAGCAAAGTGCTCGAAAACTTGCACGCCAAAAGAAAATTGATAGAATGTTGATGAGGGAAAGGTTTCTTAGGTTTTACCCTCAATTGAACAAAGTTTGTCTAAAGCTAGAGAGCAAACAGCAGTTTTGACAATCATCGATTGATCGATGTTTTTCTCAAAACGTGAGTCTTACAATGCATGCTTCTGACAATGGAAATTTCAAACCAAGAAAAGTAGTGGCGGCAAATTTTAAACATCCTTAGAAGACACTTTCGTTTAATAATGCGTTTAATCGCCGATGATTCTGATTTTATCTGCTTAGTGGAAGTTGGTGTTAAAATGGACGTATTGCGCCTTCTTTACAAATTCGTAAAATCCTAACTAAGAAAATTAGCGGCTTAAAATGTTCAGTCTTTAGAAGAGACTCGACCGTAAGTGTGCTGAAATTTTCGCCAAATTTCCCGTTGATACTGACTTTTACCAGCTTGTCTCCTATAAAAATTCCTAACTTCCAAACTAAGAAAAATCGCAGCATGCGATTTTCACAGTCAGTTGAAATTTTCACAATTTTTAGAAGACACTCGACTCTACATGTGCTGAAATTTTCGACAAAATCGCCGAAGACCCTGATTATTTCTAGCCTAGTGAATGTTGGTCTCACAATTGATGTTTTTCCCTTAGTGCGCTCTCTCCTTTAAAAAATCTTGAATTTTCAACTAAGAAAAGGAGGAGTATGAAATTTTCACAGTCCTTAAAAAACAGTCGACTCTAAAAAAGCTGACATTTTCGCCAAAATCGCCGATAATCCTGATTTTTTCCAGCCTAGTAGATGTTGGTCTCAAAATGCATGTTTACGTATAAGTGSACTCTCTCCTTAAAAAAATCCTCAATTCCAAACTAAGGAAAGTAGCAGGTTGAAATTTTCACAATTATTAGAAGACACTCGACTCTAAATGTGCTGAAATTTTCGACAAAATCGCCGAAGATCCTGATTATTTTTAGCATAGTGAATGTTGGTCTCAAAATCGACGTTTTTCCCTTAGTGCGCTCTATCCTTTAAAAAATCTTGAATTTTCAACTAAGAAAAGCAGAAGTATGAAATTTTCACAGTCCTTAAAGAACAGTCGACTCTAAAAAAGCTGACATTTTCGCCAAAATCGCCGATAATCCTGATTTTTTCCAGCCTAGTGGATGTTGGTGTCAAAATGGATGTTTACGTATAAGTGCCCTCTGTCCTTAAAAAAGTCCTCAATTCCAAACKAAAGAAAGTAGCAGGTTGAAATTTTCACAATTATTAGAAGACACTCGACTCTAAATGTGCTGAAATGTTTGACAAAATCGCCGAATATCCTGATTATTTCTAGCCTAGTGAATGTTGGTCTCAAAATTGACGTTTTCCCTTAGTGCGCTCTATCCTTTAAAAAATCTTGAATTTTTAACTGAGAAAAGCAGAAGTATAAAATTTTCACAGTCCTTAAAGAACAGTCGACTCTAAAAAAGCTGACATTTTCGCTAAAATCGCCGATAATCCTGATTTTTTCCAGCCTAGTGGATGTTGGTCTCAAAATGGTTGTTTACATATAAGTGCACTCTCTCCTTAAAAAAATCTTCAATTCCAAACTAAAGAAAGTAACAGGCTGAAATTTTCACAATTATTAGAAGACACTTGACTCTAAATGTACTGAAATGTTCGACAAAATCGCAGAAGATCCTGATTATTTCTCGCCTAGTGAATGTTGGTCGGTCTCAAAATTGACGTTTTTTCCTTAGTGCGCCATCTCCTTTAAAAAATCTTGAATTTTCAACTAAGAAAAGCAGAAGTATGAAATTTTTACAGTCCTGAAAGTACAGTCGACTCTAAAAAAGCTGAGATTTTCGCCAAAATCGCCGATAATCCTGATTTTTTCCAGCCTAGTGGATGTTGGTCTCAAAATGGATGTTTACGTATAAGTTCACTCTCTCCTTAAAAAATTGCTCAATTCCAAACTGAAGAAAGTAGGAGGTTGAAATTTTCACAATTATTAGAAGACACTCGACTCTACATCTGCTAAAATGTTCGACAAAATCGCCAAAGATCCTGATTTTTACCAACCTAGTGAATACTGGTCTAAAAATGAATGTTTCCACCCAAGTGCGTTCTCACCTTTAAAAACTCCTAAATTCCCAACTAAGAAAAGTAGCAGCTTATGCAGCGCAGCAGTATATGCTAAAGTTGCTGATTTTTACCAACCTAGTGAATGCTGCTCTAAAAATGGATATTTTCTGAAAAACTCCAATCAGGGGGAAATTTTCAACGTCCTTAGAACACAGTTGACTCTGCAAATGCTACGCTTTTGTAGAAATCGTCCAAGATCCTGATTTTTCAGTGATAATAACCTCGGAATGATGAGAAGGAACCCACCTTGAATCAAACATCAAAGGAAACATCGTTCAGCAAATACATCGATTGATCGTTGAAACATCAAGCGAACAATGCACGTTTATTTAATTGAACCGAATTGGATCAATCGGAAACGGGAATTTGTAAGGATTATTATAAAACAGCAAATAGGCAATATCCTCATTACGTATGTAAGATCGTTGGCCTCAAAGGTTAACAAACCGTTTTCTTTGAAAGTTTTCAACTAGAGTGCATAATCGCTGAGCGCTTTACATGAATAATATATTTTTTACTTTCGGTTATTACGTTTATTGGCAATTTGTTTGCATTTAAATGACCGATCACTTGCACTTATCGCAATTGGATTTGCATTGAAAAAAGCAAAGCGTTCGTTGGTTCATTCATTCATTCATTCAATTGGCAACGATTTCAATGCCTTCGAATAGAACTGTTAGGATTTTCTAGTTTGATTTAGTCGAACTGTTTATATTGTATTCAGCGCGGCAGGATGGCTGCACAACAAAACCAGTGCTTAACTT